TTTAAAAAAAAAGTCTGTAATTGACATTCCAAATTACCACATTTCTCCTTAGTATCTTCATGATCTTGTTTTATTTGCCATAAAGCTGTTTCAATTTTAAAAGTAAGAAATGTAAGACATGATCTATATGCCACATAGACAGAAGAACCCAGTACAGAATTTTGAGGTTTTCTGTTTATGTGTATATATTTCAGATGCATTTTCTAAATACTTCAGCTTTTGAATACCACAGTAAATATCCACTGAGGTAAAGTACTGTTAGGTAATAAGCAAAATAACCCAGAATGATTCCATAACCAGGTTAAAGGGCACAGCCAGAAACAGAAGCCAGACGTTTCTCATTATGTCCTGCTCAAATTAATAACCTGGGTAAGTCTGCATTTTCACCTTTCTGCATCATTGTCATGATTCTTTAAAAGAAACACAGCATTTAAAAATATTCGTTTCTCCTCTTTTACTTTGTCTGCCTTCTTAGTCCTTCATTTTAGCATGATTTAAAGCCCTAAAGTGGGTCTTAGAGGGTTGCGTTTATCAAGCAGCGTTTTTGTGTTTCTGTTTGTCTATTTTTTCCCGGCAGCTGTATACTGAGAACCTATACTGCCTCCTTCTGGAGAGTCTAACAACATCAAAATAACTATACAAAGCCCAACTCCGAAGAGGTCATCAAAGAACGAGGTGATTAAAACTAGCAATTTTTTAGGCAAATATATAGAAACAGAAAGTAGATTAGTAACTATTTGAGGGTCAGAGAATTGGAAACAGAGGATTGATAGCCAAGGGTTACAGGGTTTCTTTTTGAGGTGATGAAAATATTCTAATTTGATTATAATAAAGGTTGCACAGCTCTGTGAACACAGTAAAAACAATGCAATTGTACAACTTAAAGTGATGAAATGGAAGGCTTGTAGGGTATGTGGAATGTTAATAAGGCTGTTATACAAACTGAAGTTGTAATTCCTGTCCCTGAATCAACAGGTGAAGCTTCCACAGTACAGGCTGCTGCTAAGTCACTTCAGTCGTGTCCGACTCTGTGTGACCCCATAGACAACAGCCCACCAGGCTCCTCCGTCCCTGGGATTCTCCAGGCAAGAACACTCGAGTGGGTTGCCATTTCCTTCTCCAATGCATGAAAGTGAAAAGTGAAAGGGAAGTCGCTCAGTTGTGTCCAACACTTAGCGACCGCATGGACTGCAGCCCACCAGGCTCCTCCGTCCATGGGATTTTCCAGGCAAGAGTACTGGAGTGGGTTGCCATTGCTACCCCCTAAACACCAGAGAGCTGGGTAACAGACAAGATCTGAAACGATCTAAACAACCCAAGTCTACGCCTAGGGCAAAGAGGATACAAATCAGGCTGAAAGAGAACACAGGAGACAAAAAGAGAATAATCCCAGAGCACATATTATTAGAGAGTAAAAACAGCAACCCCAGAAAGGCAACAGGGCAACAGAATTTTACTCAGGAAAGAATCAAAACATGTTAATTAATTGGTACTGATAAAATTTAAAGCTTATATTTGAAATATAATTAAGGTGATGATAATAATATCTTAGAATACTGGCAGGAAAATTAAAGAGTAAATGCATTTGAATTAATAGATAAACTGACTGGGAAATCAATAACAGACTTTCATTCAAAAACAAAACAAAACAAAAAAAAGTTTGTGCATCTCTGGTCAAGTTCTCGAATTTGAATACAGACCCACAGTGACCACTGTGTGCCAGGCATCTTCTCCTGAACCCTCCTCAGATGCCTCATTTGAGGCAAATGGAATTTACCATCATACTCTGCACTAACTTACACGGCTGCCCTGACTTTTTCTTTTCCTGTCGTCCCCAATCTCAGATTCCGACACCGCCTATCAGTCTTCTTTGTCAATAACCCTTCTCCTGCCCTGAGTCTACTCAAACTATCAAATCATTAGGTCTCTTCACCCATACTGCCTCATTTCTAGTCATTTACATCCCTGACCAGATGGCTGGAGTATCCTGTTTGGCTGTCAGTTTTGCCCAATTCAAACACATTCTCCATTAAGTCATCAGTTAGATTCCTACAAGATAAAGTCCCACTGTATCACTCTCTTGCTTAATATTCTTTAAAGACTTCTCTTCATTGCCACCAGGTTAAAATATGAAATACTTGGCAAGTCATACAAGACTCTCTATGATCTGGACCACTCAGCTTTCCAAGAGCTTTCGTCTCCAAAAAGATCAGGTTTTCTCTTGCCAACAGTTCTCTGCTGAGGAGAAAAACCTAACTGCCGTGCAGCAGGGCGATGAAACATAAATTCATACATCCATGTGATCATTTATTCTTATCAGAAGTGGTATGTATCATGGCATACTCCCAGAAATTAATCATCTTCCCATGTGCTTCCAAACTATGCTTTATCAAAAGTTACCCAAATTCACCTTAAACCAAATACAGAATAAATTTCTTCACCTTCATGAAATATTCCCATGGCCCTGCATCCCACTGTGTTAAGACACAAAGCAAGTGCAACTAGAGTGTGTGTTGTGTAAGCAGTCTACATACACCCCTGGTTCACGGAGCACACGCTTGCCGAGGTCCTCATTCCATCGTTTTGTGCACACATGTCCTCCACCACCATCACCACACCAACAGAACACGTGTTTTATAATTCCAAGTGCTTTTGCTCATTCTTTTTCTTCAACAAATATCTTTCCTTTTCCAAATGAGTTTTCATTTTTAACTGTCTGTTCACTCACACAAAAGGAGAGTCATTAAAACAAAAATCCAAAAGAAAAATTAAAATTCTGTTGCATCAGAAATACTAAGCAAATGGTACTAAAGCCTAAAAATCATCTACCCATAAGGTGACCAAAGCAAAGCCACTGATTTTCTTTTTTTAATAAAGTGAAGAGAATGCTTTAAAATTAAGAGCAATTAACAAAGAAGCAAGAGAGTGAAAACTCAGGCAAACTATCATAATATGAAACATCCAAACCATAAATAAATGAATGTGCTTACCTTTAGGTAGAGAGATGTTAATAAGCTTTTAATAAATACCCTCTTTATTATATCTTATGAGACAAAATAGATTATTTTAGCAACATTAAATTAGTTTCAAGAAGCATTTACCATTCATGTTATAATGTACTTTAGTCAGTAACCTCTTTTTCCTGATGCTGGTTTCCTAAGACAAGTAGTCCCATCTTAGCTATTTTTATTCAGAAAGATTTTAAACATCTCTATTTACATGTATTTCTTCCACAGTTTGAATAATTCATTAAATATTGAGAAGAGTTGTTGGCTATGTAAAAATATATCCCAGGATAAGATGTATTTAAAGACCTTATTAAACTCCAAATTAGGTCTGTATTTTACTGGTGCTCACCATCAAGGTTCATGTCAAGCCTTCTTTGTTCATTGTCTAAAAGTGTTACCTTCTCAAATGCACAACCTGCATATGTTTGAGTTTAACATCATTATATAAATTGAGTATCCATGAGCATTACTGGGTCAGACTTATCATTAAATCATAAAAAATAATATATTCTAGCATATAGCCACATTGAGAGCTCTCCATAAGCCTGTAAACATGAGATGATAGCTAAATATCTTATCAATTAACATGTATAGTGACCTCATAGGACTCCAGAGGGTAAGACAAAACACATACAAAAAGAACAGATTTATCTTCAACATTTGGCTGCTCATTCTCATTATCAAGACACAAGGGTATTATGTAATGAATCAATGAATAAAAAATAAGAAGTAATGTAAGTAAACAGATTTTTGTTGAATTAATCTTGAGAATTCAACCATCAAACACTCTACTAGTCAATATGCAAGGGAATAAGTTATTAATAAGTCTATTCCAAATGGGTCTTTTTAAAAAATTTATAACTTTTTATTTATAATAATTTCAAACAGAGAAAATTTGTAAGAATTGGAACTGTTCCAAGAAAGTTTCTGGACCCTTCATCCAGACCCACATATCTGTTAACATTCTAATGTTTTGAGGGAAAAGATTTTCTAAGAAAGGATTCAAAAAAGGTCATGACGCTGAATTTCATAATGATGATGTTTTAGGGCCCAAGGGCAGCAGTCAGTATTTACTTAGAATTTCCACACAGAGCTCTGCATAGGCAACAGTATGGAATAATGTGATCTCTGCCCTTGAAGAACCACATGATCAACTAGGAGAGGAGGAGACAGGCATCAGATGACAATGGATCATGAGTTCAGAAGCATCAGAAATAATACCTGCCAAAATGTTATGAGAATGACACGGCATAAAGAAGTAATCAGATGTAAAACTCTGGTAAACAAGGAGACTTCTCCTATGAAGTTGGTTTAAGACCGAATTCTAAGTGAGAAGGCCTGTGATTGGCAAGAATAGGTCATTCTGCACAAAGAAAATGGGAAATTCAAGGGCACTGAAGCAGTTGCAATTGGGGCAGAAAAAAGATTCAGACATGCTTCATAAGATTCCTCATAAATTCTTTTAAAGGAAAGATTTTGTACTATCATATTTCATGTGGAAGGAAAATTTGAACCTCAGACTGCATTCACAATCGTAGTCATCAAGCTAAAGACATAAATGCAATACCCTCAAGCCTAATATTCCTAGTTACAAACTAAGCCACAGGGCCTTTGCAACTTTTATATTAAGTATTTATAATAAATGAACAAAGAAACAACTTCATATTAAAAGGAACTGCCCTGATAAATCAGGTTTCAATAAGTGTAACTATAATAGGGCTTAAGATGACAGAAAATGGAATGGTTATGAGCCTATAAGTCTAAATAAATAATTATCACTTCCATAAAACAAGGTGTTTTTTTCCTTAATTATTAACTAAGAGTATTTTATAGACCTCACTTCTGGAAACCAATTATTCATAGAGAAGCATGGATTTCATAACCGAATAAGGTGATAGCCTCACCTTTGAACTGTAATACGTTTTGCATGTAGATGGATCAAAAGAGGATGACAAAAATTAAAATAGAAGGCCCAGTTTCCCATGCACTTGCCTGCATCTGCTGGGTGAGTTCTCTGGCCAGGACAGTGTCCTGAAGAGCATTCTCCCGCTGAGAGGCATCCGCAAGCACATTAACTGTGGTTTCTGCTTCTTGTATCCACTTTAGGAAGTTCTCCAGATCCTTGCGAGAGCTTTGCACTGTCCTTAGCTCAGCCTCCAAGGCACTCTGTCTATCAGCAATGCTGCAAGTAACAAAATGACAGGCACACCTCCATTACTTACAGTGTGACAGGACACAGCAAGCGCACCCTAAAGAAAAATTAACACACAGCCTCCAAGCAACCTTTATTTAAGTACCTAAGGTAACTAGGAGATGTGTTTCTATGTGTCTTGAATAATCCTTAATAGTAATGGAATTTTGAAAGAAAGGAGTGGGTGAGAGATATAAATATTAACAAAATAATATCCATATCATAAAATAATCATCACGTTTTACAAATCGTAATTGTACATTAAGTTATTCCCCGTACATTTTATTCTTCCCTGGTGGTAAAGAACCCACCTGCAATGCAGGAGACCTGGGTTTGATCCCTGGGTTGGGAAGAGCCCCTAGAGAAGGGAAATGCCACCCACTTCAGTATTCATGGCCTACTCCATGGACTGTATAGTCCATGAGGTCACAAAGAGTTGGACACGACTGAGTGACTTCCACCAACAACTCAAAGGTGATATCAATAAATATTCATACATGTGAATTCAAGAAAGAAGTAATGGCTCAGTAAATGATTAAGAAACAATCAAATAATTTAAAGGACTTACTTTATATATTTTAAACACTTCAGATCAATGCAAATTGGTTCTTTAAGATGACATAATAATATTCAGAAGACACGAGACAATCAAGTTTTTATAAAGCATTCATTAAATCTACACCAAAAATTAAAGCATATATCTTGAAGCTGCATGATTTAAGAGATACACACACCTGTAAACCCAATCTGTAAAACTTCCTGTATCTCAAAGCTCCAAAAAAGAAAACAATTTATGAATGGACACCAACAAGTTCACTTCTAAGTATTTAAATTCAAGAGAACTGAAAGTATATATCCACACAAAAAACTTGTACACAAATGCAGCATTACTTATTTAGAAGAGTCAAATAATAGAATTGACCCAAACATCCATTAACGGAGAGAGGATATGTTAAACAAAATGTAGTATATCCATCCATGAAATATTATCGCATCATAAAAAGGAATGATATACTGATAAATGCTCAATATGGATGGACCATGAAAGCACTCTGCCAAATGAAAAAAACAGATGCAAAAGGCCATATATTTTGTGATTTCATGTATATGAAATATTTAAGAGGACCAAATCCATAGAAGGAGAAAGTAGGATTAGTTGTTGAGTAGGACTGGAAGGTAGAAGAAAATGGGGACTGACTTACTAATGGTTGTGGGTTTCTTCGGGGAGTGATTAAATGTTCTGAAATTAAGAGTGTTGTGATGAAGCACAACAGGGAAAAGATACTAAAAGCCACTTGGTTGTACACTTTAAAAGGGTAAATTTCATGAACTATACCACAATTTAAAAATCAGCACATGTAACAAGATCTCATGTACATATTTTTTCTAACTGTCCATCCACTCTTTCATCCATTCATCATCATCCATCCATTTGTATATACAGATAGATGGAGAAAGGTCTGGAACACTAACTTAATATTAAATTAGTTCCAGGTGCTGGACTCTAGTGCGGTTTACTTTCCTATTAGTACTTTTCTGCATTCTTTGAATTTACAATAAACAAGCATCTTTCTTATGTATCAAAAAATGCTTTCATTTTAAAAATGGATGAAAAATTTAAATAGACATACCATCATAGAAGATAAATGGATAGCAAAAAAAAGCACATGAAAAGATACTCAGCATCATTAATCATCAGAAAAATGTAAACTCAAACCACAATGAGATATCACTACATATTAGAATGGCTTTAAGAAAATGACCAAACCAAGTTCTGGTACCATTACAAAGGGCAATGACTGCAACTCTCACAGTTGATGGTAGGAATATAACATGGTACAGCCATCCTGAAAAACAGTTTGGCAGTTTTTAATAAAATTAACCATGCACTTAAAGATACAAGCCAGGGATCCTATTCCCAAGTATTTACCCAAGAGAAATGAAAACACATGTCCACACAAAACTTAAATGCAGATGTTCATAGCAGCTTTATTCATAATGGTCTAAAGCAGCTTTATTCATAATGGTCTAAAGCTGATGATAACTCAAATATCATCAACCCATAAATAGATAAATTGGGGCATATGCATAAAATGGAATACTACTAAGCAATAAAAATCTAAATGCTAATGAAGGATGCAACAACATGGGTGGAACCTCAAATGCATTTTGCTAAGTGGAAGAAGCCAGACATAAAAGCTGCATACTGTGATCCCATTTACATGACATTCTGGAATGTCATCAACCTCATCTCAACATTTACTTTTGAAAATTCTCCAACAGTGTTTGGCTGCCTACAGAACAAATTGAAATTGCTTTCCTGGAAGTCAGTAATAATTCTCCATAACCTATCACTAACTTACTTTTCCAGCTTTACCTCCTAGTTCATTCCAATGATTCAAATCAAAGTGGGAGGTTCCTTTTCCTCTAAAATATTCTTAATACCACATCCACATAAAAATTTTATACTCACATAACAATGTCCTTCTGCACTGATGAAAGAAATCAAAGATGACACAAATAGATGGAGAACTATACCATGTTCATGGATTGAAAGAATCAATACAGTGAAAATGAGTATACTACCCCAAAGCAATCTATAGATTCAATGCAATCCCTATCAAGCTAACAACAGTATTTTTCACAGAACTAGAACACATAATTTCACAATCTGTATGGAAATACAAAACCTTAAAGCAATCTTGAGAAAGAAGAATGGATCTGGAGGAATCAGCCTGCCAGACCCCAGACATACTACAAAGCTACAGTCATCAAGACAGTATGGTACTGGCACAAAGGCAGAAATATAGATCAATGGAACAAAATAGAAAGCCCAGAGATAAATAAACCCATGCACATATGGACACCTTATCTTTGACAAAGGAGGCAAAAATATACAATGAAGAAAAGATAATCTCTTTAACAAGTGGTGCTGGGAAAACTGGTCAACCACCTGTAAAAGAATGAAACTAGAACACTTTCTTTTTTTTTTTTTTCCATTTATTTTTATTAGTTGGAGGCTAATTACTTTACAATATTGTAGTGGTTTTTTTCATACNACCACAATATTGTAAAGTAATTAGCCTTCAATTAAAATAAATAAACTAATTTTTAAAATATATGTCCTTCTGACTATCTTCACCTATCAAAATCCTTCCAGTCCTTTAAGGGTTAAGGACTACCTCCTCCAGAACATCTCAGTCTAATTAGGTTTCCTTGGCCAGAGTTCATAAAAGGTCAAAACTCCTCTTCAGAAATTTATCACATGTATCCTGAAAACACCCTTAGACTATGATCTTATCTCTCTTACATTTTACTTTAACTATATCATAGAGATCTCTTGTCTTTCTCCCAGTTCTATAAACACACAATAGGTAAAAGCAGTCTTTTGCATCTCCATATTTCTCAGAGTCTTTGTTATAGCATTCTGTGTAAGTTGTTCAGTCGTGTCTGACTCTTTGTGATCCCATGGACTGTAGTCCACCAGGCACCTCTGTCCATGAAATTCTCCAGGCAAGAATATTGGAGTGGGTGGCCATTTCCTTCTCCATGGGATCTTCCAGACGCAGGGATCAAACACAAGTCTCCTGCACTGCAGGCAAATTCTCTACTATCTGAGCTACAAAGAAGTCACCATTATAATTGCATTTATAAAATAATGAAAATCTTTTTATAATAGGACTTTAAAATTAGCTCCCAAATACCACTTTTCAAGAAGCTACAGAGTGAAGGTCTCTAGAATATTCAGTTTGTGAATCCAGAAAGAAGACAATACATTAGGAAGCATAAAAACAAGAAATCCAATATATGGAGAAGCAAACAGGTTCTCACGTTAATGGTGAAAGGAGATCTCAGACAAAGGGTTATGTACTCAAATCGGATCAGATGAGGCCTGTCTTCATCATACCAACTGCTCTGTTTCTTGTTTCAATTTGACAAAATTAACAAAAAAGAAAGTGAAAGTGAAAGTGAAGCCACTCAGTCCAGTCTGACTCTTTGCGACCCCATGGACTGTAACCTACGAGGTTCCTCCATCCATGGGATTTTCCAGGCAAGAATACTGGAGTGGGTTCCCATTTCCTTCTCCAGGAGATCTCCCCAACCCAGGGATTGAACCTGGGTCTCCTGCATTGTAGGCACATGCTTTACCATCTGAGCAAAACAGAGTCTTGAAAAGTGGACAAAGCCAGGTGTTGTTATTATGGATACACCAGTTAAGCTTGTAAAAAGTACTGTAATTTTAACTTATGTGTCATATGTCAAATATGTTGAGGTCTGCACTCTCTTAACATTAGTATGACATTAAAATCAACTTCTCATCCTAACAGGAAAAAAAGAAAAAAAGGACAAAAACAAATAAACCAAAAACGCCATGAGATCCTAGGAGGAAAGCACAGAAAATCCCTAGGATAATGCCTGTGCACCAGGCTTTGAAAACTGTCTCCAGAAGAGATGTCTGCAAGAAAAGTTATTAGAAGTGATAGACTGCTTAATGTGATTGACCTTGTAGGAAATTGTACTGTCAGGCCATGGAAAACGTGGGAAGAATTAGCAGTAGGTGCAAAGAAAACTAAGCATATAAAAACAAGGCAATTATTAATTTATGGTAAAATAAATAGAGAAGAAACAAAATTATAGTAAATGTCAGTGCTTGGCTGTTAATGATGCTTAGACAGACACAATACTGTCAACACTATCTGCTTCTCTAAAAATTCAATGATAAGACGATATAGACACTATGGAAAACAATATGGCAAGTCCTCAAAAAATTAAAAATAGAATTAACATGATCAAGCGAGGAGATGAAAAATGTTGCCCCTAGGGGGAGGGCTGTGATGAGCAGTGAGAGAACCACTATAAGTCCTCTACACATGAACCTCAGGTTGCAAACTTTCAAAGATGCAAATGTGCATTTCCATGTCTAGTCATGAAAGCTAGTTCACATGTCTGGCATCCATTGTATGTGCGCGTGTGTATCCTCTACAAGTGGT